AGTATAATGGTTTTACAATAAAATATGCTGATGGTAAAGACACCACCAATAGTTTCTATTCATTTTTACATTATCTACCATTGTTTTTAGCAGGCACCATGAACAAAGCACAGTTATCCTGCCATTGTCAGAAGTTTGATTTTGTTTAGTCATAAAGGAGCATCCTTTAAGCAGTCATACAGAGGAAAAACAATCATCGGCCCACACAGCTCTAATATTGTAATCTGTTACCATTGCACTCTCGCATTTCGCATTTAATGATAAACCAATTTTCCACCTCCGGCATGCTTAAAAACTGTTTTGCAATATTTTGAGGTTTTATTCTTTCTGAATTCCTTTCATTTTCATAAAAAAAAAAGGTGGCTGGAAACATGTCTAATGTGCGTAAATTCTCCACTCGTTCTTAGCACTTCTTCCACTGTAGTACACTCATTCCTTAACAATCAAAACAACTGGATGTTGTCAAGAATTCATGACACATTCACACCGTCAGTGGAATATTCTGCAGTACGATACGATCAGCTGACCCTCAAATCCTTGCAGATTCCCAGTGGAAAAGTAACAGTATTATGGAAGAAAAAATGAAGATGGAAAAAAAAAACAATCAACACAAGTCATTTTTTCACCAGATGCCCTTTGCCCCTCTGTTGTTTTTTTGTTTTTCCTTTTCCATCAGCGTCAGCACCTATAGCACACCACCACCAACACGAACTCATCTCGGTGGCTGGAGTGTATGGGCTGTCAGTCCCCACAGGATCCCTCCACAGTTTTACCCTGAACATTTCTTTGGCAACTGGAATTCAGACTGCCTTGAAGAAATATGTGGTGTTCTTTCCCCTATAATAAACTCTTTTTCCTCAAACAAATTTTCTCCTACTGATTTAAAGAGCATGATGAGATCTCTATTGAGTCTCTGGCTGTTTTCCACTGAGTTTGTTTTTCCACTGTCTGACTATTGTTCTCTACTGTTGATACACCTTGATACACCTTAAAACCCACAAGAGGACACCACACAACACACAACAACACACACCACACACCACCAAGACACACACCATCACACAAACAAACACAGCTTTAGTCATTGTTCAAACCACCATTGCCACTCTGCAACACCCTTAATGACTACCACAATCATTGACTCAGTAATTCTACAGTCTTACTCACAGTAAAAGTCATGTTTTTTTCATAAAACTCAACTCAGAAAGCATTTCTAGATTAATAATCAGATGGGAATATCTGTTTTTTTGTTTATCAAATGAATTAAACAGCTTACCTTTTAAACAAACTTCCACCCAGGTATCAGGTATAATGTCTGCTTTCCAAATCACAGTACTGTCTCAAATTGATGCAAATATCTTGTAAATCCAGTATTACCTTTTTATATATATATATATATATCTCAAGATATACAGGAAAGGGGGCGAGGGAAGGAATGACATGCAGCAAAGGGCCATAGGTCAGATTCAAACCCATGGCTGCAGGAGCAAGGACTCAGCCTTGGTACATGGGGCACCAGACAGCACTAGAGCATTCACCAACATCTGCTACTGCTGAGAAACAGCATCCCTCAGGCTGTCAAACCTATTCACAAACTGGTAGCAAATGTTAAATGTCTAGTAATTAGGGCAATGAATTACTTTGCTCATCCACTAGAGTGAGGTAAACTGCATATATAGACTCGCTGTGATGCAGTGCTCCACTGTCACTTTCCAGTAAGTCATAACTTGCACTTATATTCCATTCAGAGACTTGATACTGTGAACTGAAGTGATTGTGAACACTTACTGGCACAAATTGTCATAGAAGAATATATTATTCGACCAAAGCTTTTCTTACAAAAGACGCTTTTTGCACTCAACAGTTTTCTCTATGCAAAAGAAAAGGAAAAAAAAAGAAATTAGATTTAATATCTGTCCCTATTGCTTATGGTTGTTGGGCTGAGGAGATATGTGATTAGCTATTGCAATATTGTCAATATCCTTATTGTAGATACATCCTGTCCCACACTTCATTCAAATGTTATGACTCAATCATGGAGAAAATGACTCACAAGGTCTGTAACCGTAGCAAAGGATTGATGCTAAAATAAGGCTTCAAACACCAATTTGTTTTGTTATGAAGAAATCTGCAGCATGTCACTCTTTCATCAACACTAAAACATATTTTCTGCTTCACTTAACTCCCAATGTCAACAATTACAGGAAAGAAGGAAAAACCTTGAAATAGATCCATGTTATGTGCATTTTACCCCTTTGTTACTTGTTACCTAACCTATTGTTCAGCAGAAGTGATACAGAAAACTGGCAGTAGTGCTAAGTGAATGTTATTGGAAACTTCTCAATGATGCATCTCTGTGGATGATGTCATTCAACAACAAAATTAAACTGACCCAGGTTTAGTTAACACAGAATGACTAAGCAACCAGGAAGTGAGTATGTCTGTTGTTCACTCAGTTATAACCATAGTAATATTTAACTATTAACTCCATCTAGTGGTCTAAATCCACTAAAATGTGCATGCAGAATACGGACTGAGACAAACAGGTGTGTGTGTGTGTGGACCAGAACAGTATCGCACCAAACTCCATTCAACAAACAGGCGATCCAAGGTATCCTTGTTAAATTGCTTACAGCCTCGTTTCACAGGACAATACTTTATATTTATTATAAACCCAAAAGCGAAACTATTACGATCGGCACACACACAATACACAGAAAGGGCCGCAGTTGAATAAAACACCAACGTTAGTAAATGGTCCATCCTTACCTTCAGACTGCCTTCATTGAACAGATCCTCCGGTACTTTGCAAGCTATCAGGGCGTTTGGTAAATCGGTAAACTGGACATCCACCGTGGCCTCCTGACCACCGCCATTCACTGCCTGCTGCATCACGAACGATTATCTGAACTGTCTTCTGGAAACAGACACGAAACCACTTCAGCAAAGAGCACAAATCATAACACATCAATAACGCCCACCAGCTGCATACTGGCTCACATAACGCTATATTTACTACCACACATACCGGTGAGGATGTAGGAGTTATTTCATGATAAATGTGGTTAAACGGCGTTATATACGAGGGTTTCCTGCAAACAGCCAGCAGAAGTAAAGTAGCTCTTGAGTGTATTAGATTAAAAACTGCACTAAGCTGGTTAGCAGGTTATGCTAACCAGGAACCTGAAATGATACCTCGAAACAAGCGAGACACACGATATTCCGTCAATATCTTCCCTCAGTTTATTGTAGGTGAAGGCGGTTGTTTGGCAACTAGTATTGTCATCGGTCAAAGCAGCACAATATTGTCTAATATTAGCTCAAATTAAAACCTATCGGATAACTTTGTTAGCATGGCGCAGAGGATAAAGGAGATGACGTAAATTGAACAGCTGCTGATATGCGTTTCCGGTTTTGCGGTAATTATTTTAACTTTAAAAAAGAAATATGTTTTTCGTATTTCCAGTCTTTTTAAACAACACTGACCACAATGGATATATAAATAAATATATTTAAAAAAAATAGTTAATTGAAATACAATTGACACAATATACGATTTGGTGCAGCTTTCACATTAGAAGAGTCGGTATATTGAACACATTAAAAACTGCCCCATCAAAAAAGGAGAACATAAAAAAAACAGAATAAAGAACTACAACAAAAGCTTTTTTCTTTCCTTTTTTAATTAGTTATTTTTATGTTTCCCCCGTGAAATAAATGTTTTCAACACATTATACAGCATTTAACATCGCTGCTCTACTGATCCTGTGGTCAAGATGTTATTTGAAGTCAAGATCCTGCCCTCTTGTGGCAAGCTCTACTTATTACAGGATTTTTATTACAGATCATTGTATAGCTGTCACTGTAATCTAATTTATAGAAGATAAGCATGTGTGATTAGTGCAGATGAAGAGAGAGAGAGAGAGAGAGACTTTAATTTAATTTAATTTAAAAAATGTTTTAAGCATGTATGTAATAAATTAGTTGAACAGATGGAGAACAATATAAACCTAAATTATAATTAATTAATTATATTAATTAATTATAGTATGTGTTATTGATTATGATGCATTGGTTAGAATAACTGATTTTTACGGATAATTGTAATTACATAATTACTTTCAAAATAGAAATAGAAGAGAACATTTCTGTATGTCATGTCAGTGCTGTAGTGTGTATGTGTTCCGTATGTAATGTGTGTGTGTGTGTGTGTGTGTGTGTGTGTGTGTGTCGTATGAGTGTAAGTTTGTAAGAAACCTCAACTCAACTCAAGTGGTGCTGGTCCCTGGGTGGCAGAGGGGTTTAAGCACCTGGTCATGTGGGGATCAGCCTCCATTTAATCCTCTGGAGAGAGAGAGAGAAAGAGAGAGAGAGAGGTAGGTAGGTTGTATTTATTGATGTCTAACTCTGCTCAAGGTGCCGTACTGATTCGAGAGCCCCATAGCCACAGGCAGAGGAGTAAACAGAATGTGTACTTCCAAACACTAAACCTATGCACCCGAATAATTGTTTCATGATCTTTGGAGGTGAAATCTCATAATCTGGATTTTATTTCCTTTTCCTGCAAATTTGGAACTTCCTGGGAATCCTACAGGTCTTTTACAATCTTCAGATCTTTGTGAAAACTGAGCTCCATATCGGTACAATTGTGGAATCAGAAAACCATCCTTCTCAAAGCAACTTGGGAGTTATTCCAGGATTCGAGTCCTCTTGTGACTTTTGAAAAACTTTATTCCTACTCCTTGTGTCTTGCCGTGGAACATCAGAAACACTGTGAGATACTTTTTGAATATTTTCTGGAATACTGTGTTTATTTTACAATCTTTGGAACCCTGTCGTCCTCAAAGACACTTCCTGCTCCAAAATCTGTCTTTGACCTTTTCTGGAATACCAGATCTATCCCACAAACCTGACATCTTGTAGAACTGCACTCTGATCCTGGAAACCTGCGCACCAATCATTCTTAAGTAAGTGTCCTGTCATTTCCTCGAACTTTCTTAATGGCTCAGTCAGACTCCTGCCCAAACCCAGACCTGTCAAATAGCTCCATTGTCCTCAGCCCACTAGGTATGTGTTCAGACCTGGATACCCAGAGAGGAAGAGAGGATGAGGAGGAAGAAGAAGAAGAAGATGAGGAGGTGGAACTAGCCGAGGAAGTGGGGGAGGATGTTTTGATGATGGCTGGAGCAGGAGAGAGGCAAGCCGTGGGAGAAAGCAGAGAGCAGAGTGAAAGAGGGGAGGTGAGGATTATTCAAGTGTTATCAAATGGAGTAATAACAGAGGAGGAGGGAGAAGGTGAAAACCCGGAGGAAAATGGGGAGGAAGGAGTAGAAGTGGAGGATGAAGAGCACAAAATGACAGATGAACAGACAAGAGAGAAAGAAGGTAAAGCCAAGGCAGAGGAAGTGTCAAAAAACACAAAGGCAGGTGCTGAAAATCCATGTCACTTTTTAGCACTGATAGAGGTTGAGGAAGGTCAAGAGCAGACATTAGACAGGAATGAAGACAGGGACGATGAGGAAAAAAAACTAGAGGCGGTGATAGAAAGCTCAGAAATAGCGCTAAGGGAGGATAAGACCAATGATGGAGACAATGGGTTAGAAGAACACCAGTTAGTGTCCAGTACTGATGATGAAGAGCATGTTCAGGGCTCAGGTACTCATGAAGAAGGGTCAGCAGAGGGTACGCAGTTGTCTACTGATGACGCAGACAAAACAGAAGTTGTTATTCTACTCACTGATGGTGAGGTAACAGGAAGTGTTGAGGATCAAACAATAGATGTGGACCCTGTTACCACGGGAATGAACAAACAAGTCAACAATCAAGATGATGCATGCCAAGCCTCAACTGTTGGCAACAGTGGCATAACCGCTGATACAGCTAGCACAATCGAAGTGGTGACAAATCAGACAAACCAATTAATCAGTGAGAATAAAGATGAAATAAAAAAAACTGACAAGACAGACAACTCAGACCACAGAAAACATGAAGTTGAGTCCATTAATAATAACAGCACATGGCAACAGGAGGATTGCTTAGAGGCAAAGGTTGAGGATAAGACAACTAAGAAGTTTCTACCCTCTGAAGAACATTCGCAGGCAGAAGGAGGGATTGAGGAAACAAGTATGGTAGGGATCAACCAGAAGGAGCAAGAGGAAGAGCAAGTGCGACAGGTTTGGGTTAATACTCTAACAGTGATGGATAGGGAAGGACAGAGTGTGGAAGAGGAGGGGAAGAAAGGCGATAACGTTATTAAAGAGTCAATGGGTGAGGGAGAGCACAAACTAGAAAGAGAAATGGAAGAAGAGAAGATGGTTGAAGTTGAAATCCCAGCTAAGGTAGATTTCTTAGACACACAGGAAGATAAAGATTTGGACCAGGTGGAGGAAGCTTTTGAACTGGAGGAAACTGAACCTGATATGCCAGGAGGTGAGGTCTCAAAGGAGAATGAGTCTACAGAGAAGCAAGGCAATTGGCAAGAACATCCTTCTTCTTTCAAAGAAGCAGAGACAGATTGGGGAGAAAACTTGAAAGAACAGCAAAGACAGGAGGCAATTGTAGAAGATGAGAAAGGAGGAGGAGCAGAAGAACAAGAAAAGGAGGAAGAGGTGGAGATGGCGGAAGAGCCTGTGACTGTTTTAGATGATGAGATTGAAGAGATAGAGGAAAGCCCGGGTAGAGAACTTGAAGAACAAAAGCCCACCACCATAGTGGAGACAAAGGAGGTTAACAAGGTTAAACTTGTCAAGGAGAATGATGAGAAACAGAAAGATGGAAAAGGAAAGGCAGAGAAGGATGAGAAGCCGAAAGACGACAACAGACAGGTAGAGTTAGATATTAATGGAAAAGTTAAAGTACTCAAGCAAGCAATGGAGAATGGGATCTTGAGTCCTGAGCCACAGCCGCTCAGGAAAGAAGAATGGGGGACAGCAAGAGTGCTGTCACTTAGGAGAAAAGATAGTGACTGGATCAAAAAAAATCAACCCGAGGAAGAGAGTGCACCAGAAGTGAAAGACTGGAGGAAAGAACTGAAACCTGTGAAAAAAGACACCTGGGAATCTGAGAGGGGAAGAAAAGAATGGGTGACGAAGGAAACATCTCCAGAAGAGAAAAGTCCGCCAAGGAAGGAGGACTGGATAAAGGAGCTGAAGTCAGTGATCAAAGACGATTCCCTGCCCAAAAAGAAGGATGAGCAGGTGAAGAAAAAGCGAGTGGTGCTGTTGGAGGATGGCCATTCGTATTTCCCCCAGCGGGAGGAGATGAATGAAAAGAAAGAGGAGGTGAAATTGATCTCCCACAGGAGGGTAGAGAGCCCTTTGCCTCCTGTACGCAGAACATCCCAAGACCAGGACTATGAGATCTCGCTCTATGTCAAGGTAATGAACCACATGAACCAACACATTATGTATGTCCACCCTGAGTCAATAACTGTTCATATGCACTGAGAAAGAGGAGTGTTTCTCCATGATTACTCATAGGGTTGACTTGGAAGAACTTGGCTGAAATTACTATCAAACAAGTAAAATGTGTGAATATCCATACTTTCATCCATACTATCTCTGAATAGGTCTTACTTTTGTGATCAAAAACATTGCGAATAAATATAGCAACTTCCTAAATTAACTTCCAATTAGTCCAGCCAACTTCCGGTTTAAGCTCTGCCCACGCCGACTAAGGATACGAATACAGCTAATTTAGTTGGTTGAACAGATACAGATACAGGTAATAGTGCACTTGCTCATCCCTAGTTCTTCGGTCAAAGTGACCATTATGGTTTTAATGGTCGTAAAATGTCATAATGGGGCTGTATCTACTAAAAATATACTCAACTTAATAATAATAATAATAACTTAATAAATAAAAAATGGAACACAATAAAGGGACAATGTTCTGCTAACCTCTTAAATTGTTCAAAAAATTTGTTATGTGCCTCCCAACTTCACAAATCACCATGCAAAATTCACCTCGATTTGTATTCTACTGGATGTATTGTATCAGTGCACCTGTTGTAGTCAGTAGCCTTCATATGTTTTGGCCAATTGCAGCGTGGCAGTGCACTGGCCTGTTCTGGTCTTGGAGGACCAAATGTGAGTCGACTCAGATTCACATATGCTGCCTTAAGGCCAAGTTTTGAGAAATGTTTACGCTGGACCAGTAAACTTGGACCAGTTTTGTAGCATCATGCGTCAGGAGACTGGCATGATTGGCAAACACGAACACAGGATTTAGGCTGTTGTTGTGCCAAGCCATTTTGGCTATGTGGGTATGGACATAAGCCCAGGCAGGCAGTCTTGTAGCATGCCTGCTGGAAAGAAAATAGTAGCAACACACAGGCTGTCAAAACCCACAACAGATCAAAGCAACACAACACTAATGACATTTAACCACTGAAACAAAATGCAGCACATCTTTCATGTATTTATTGTATATTAGTGTCAGATGACTCCATATGCTGCATATATACATGCAAACTCAAAACTGTGCTTTTTAGTACAGTTCTGTCTATATATGTCTTGTTTTATTAAGCAAGTCAACTGATTTTGATAAACATTATACAAGGAATGTTAATTTTGCCTCCATCATTGTTGTGTCTGGTTTTACGGGGAAAGGCGTAAAAAAATGTTAATTGCAACTGATACAATTAAAGAGAAGCCGTTGATATACATGTACTACTGTACATTATGTGTATGTATGATGATGTAGGTGTTTCTGTTTCAGAGCTGCTATGGCCAAACATTTGTAGTGGTGCCATTATGGTGACATGAAAACTGGGTAAACATGTGATCATTTCTATTAAGACTAATGGAGTCAAGAGACATCAGGGGAACTCAGTATTAATGCAGACAAGAGATCTCTAAATTTTAACACTACAATGGTTGCGTGAATCACAGTTACTTGTTGCCTTCTGATTACAAACGTGCTGTAGTGATGTGGTTGTCCTTACTGGCACATAATCTGGCGTGTATGTGTGTGATTCAGAGATAGAGAGCAAGTGAGAGAGAAACTCCATCTTGATCTGCTTACCTTATCCCATTAAGACAGTGATATCCTAATCCATCAGGCACGGAAGCCTACATTGCCACATGCATGCAATCTAAAGGTTGTGGACAAAGTAACAGAAGCACACATACTGTACAACTTTCCACATTTTGCATTTATGTGCTTAAACATTCACAATGATGTAGTTGTCATCTTAACCTGCACACACACACAGAGGTCAATTTTGCTCTCTGGCTGGGCAGCACATTCCTAACTGAGGCGAGAATAAAAGAGGGCAGCCTTCTGACGGCCAGCGGAGAGGTTTAACGCCAAGAAAAAAATGCACTAATATCTGAGAACTGCTTCACACATACACACAACAGGCCTGTTCTCCGTGGGAGCTCACATTCAAACAATGGCTGCCTTTGTCAGGGACTCTGTTGGCAGCACAGAGTGAGGTAGATGGAAATATTATGGAAAGGTTCAAGCGTCCTTGAGTGTCGCTGGACTACACAAGCATGTGCCAGTAAATTTTTAGAGAGGATTTCATTGAGTAGTTCTTTAAAAATGACATGATTTTGTCATAAAATACAATATATTTCCATTCTGTCATCATCTTGTATGACACGCTAGTGGAGCTAGTTTTAGGGCACCAATGACTGAATAATGGTGCTATGCTGCTGCTGCCAGCAGCATGCAGGGTTAATCTCTACATTCTCACTCTGTAAGCTGATTAGCCTGCTGTTTGCTACTGAGGGCTCTGGGCACAGTGATGCTGGAAACAACACCTCAAACTAAATTCTGCATTTTCATTATGTTAACAGCTAGGGAACAGTCTCAAAGACCATGGTTTGACTGGTAAAGGTTTACTGGGTTTTCGATGCATATGGCTGATATTGTCCATCTATTAAAATCAGACCTGTTGGTGTGGTCCACCACTGATCTGTTGACCCAAACTGTCCCGTCTACTTACACTCCTGCTCAGCCTCACCCCCCTACCTGACCCCCCCTTCCTGTGGACTTTAATTATGTAAACAACCTTTATTCAACTTTTCTTTGACACACTTTCTGTAACTTACATGATTTTGTTGCTCTTGTTATTTCTAAAATGGGTACACTATAACTCTATTCTTGTAATTTTGTGCAGTTCACCACCTACAGCTCCTATTGCACCTCCAGCTGTCCAAGTTCAATTGTTTTTGTGAAGCTTTCCCTGTCTTACCAAACCATTACATACTGTATGGTGGATTTGAAGCCAGATTCTGACCAAATAAAATGCATTTTAATTATCAGAAAAGACCAAACAAGATAACAAGAATGCAGTAGCTTTGTTTGATAAGGATTCTGACCCTGTTAATCAGATAGATTTACAGTACAGGGTTAAAGCCCTAGAGCCAAGACCCCAACGGTAATTAGTAAGATTTTACTTACTAGGCATAAAAGGAAACAATGACTTGATTCCTAGAAACGAGAACACATTTAAATATCAACATGAACAATTCACAAACATAACTAAGTAGGTGTATACAACAGCGATAGGTGCAAAGTAAAGTATGGAAAAATGAGTGGGAGACTGAAAAACAACCAAAGCATTTAGAGGTTCAGAAATTAAAAAAATTCAAATGAAATTTAAAGAAATAAAAAAAGATTCACAGGCATTTCCTGGGTGGCTGGTCAGAAAGCAGAAACAGCAGAAAATGCCTGTAGCAGTATATTGCAGGCATTATACAGTATATTCTAGGGCCTATGTGAAGGTTTCCACTGTGGGATTTGGAACCCCTCATTTTTCAGTCCCTTATCACACATTCATTTGTAATATATGTTATACACTGGATATTGTGTGTGCATTTTAATTTGAAGGTAATTGTAAATTCTCCAGATTAAATCTGATATGTCCTGCAAAATATTTTTGATTCTGATTGTAATTATGATTATCACATTTTTCAGTGGAATATTTAGTGGTACAGAACCTCTATCCATACAATTTTCCCCAGAGATTTTGGCTTCTGACAAGTTGATCATATGTAATGTATCACATAGTGCATGGATCCACCTGTTCATGCATTCACACACACACCCTCATAAGCCTTTGGCCTCATGGTGAAATCTTTGTGGACCAACCATACATAGAGCTAAAAAAAACACCACACTGGATGTACACAGCATGAAAATAATAGACAGAAAACAAAAGAGACATCTCAGCTGCTGTGGGTGTAAAAAACATCTTTCCATCCCGTCTGCAGCACACACAAACACACACATAAACACATACACACACTGGATACATTGTCTGTGTGTTTGTGATGGAGCAGAGATTCCACTACCGCCCACTCCTCTGAAAAATGAAGGAGCTCTTATACTGTTCTGTGCCTCCCAACTTCACACAAACTCTGACCTCTTGTCAGATTACAGGCTTTATGTAAGTTAAGGCTCATTGATGATCTTCTTGCAGGGCAAGATGACGAACTGCTGTCGCTGGCGATGGGAACATGTTGGCACTGTGTAGTTGATCTCTGAGCTTTCTGATATCTTCTCTGTACAGTGACGTTTACTCCTTCAGGCATGCTGTTGTCAGTTAGCACGCTTGTCAACTTCGCAAACAATAAAATTATTGCCGCAGTTTATTCAAAAGAAACGTTTAACCATTGACTCCTGTCTAAAAGCTATGCATCTAAAAGTTATGAATGGAGCCAATAAATACCGCCAATAAACCGCAATAACTTCCTCCTTCTTTAAGTCTCAGACAAATTGATGAGGTAATTGTCTCTTTCCTCCGTCCAAATCTCTTCTATTTTGACCAGCTGACAGTTTGTAACTGAGTTGACCAATTGACTTTACTATGAGCTGATTGCCTGTTGGTTGACATTCAAAAACCAGCCACAGGAGATTTGACAAGATGAGTAAAAGGCAAAGCCATCAGACGGCTAAAACATTGTTGTGAATCTTTGGTCTGAACAGGGATTGAGACAGGTTGCTACTGGTTAAAGAAGTTTTCCTAAATGTGAATAAATTGCGTGCATTTACTTCACCCCTGGAGAGAATTTGCTGATCACAGCGATTTAAATGAATTAATTTAAAATGCCTCCGTTTTAAATGCTGGTTGGACTGGCCATTTAAGGAGCCTCATAAAGACAAACAATGGTAAAAGACGCATATGGACCAAATCAAAGGGGTGTTAAAACAATAAAATAGATCTAGTGTGTTATATGTTGAATATTGCCACATGATATCAGCTCCTGGAGACTTCAGCACTAAATAGGACAGGATCTTTATTTGTCTTAACCAGAACTGTAACCACTATAGACATAACCACAACCCTTACCATAACCACAACCAAATGTAATGCTTAGCTTCTTGTGAGGACAGATTCTTCTCCTCACAATGTGATTAATACAAACGCACACACATATTTTCACTTGAGACTGTGTTTAATATTTGCTGTGACAAAGAGGGATTGTGAGTGGTGGAGACATACCAGAGGAAGCAGAAAAAACCAAACAAGCAGTCTGAGGAGCAGGCAGATGGACAGACATGGTGCTGGTGATTATCATGCTTTGGTGGAAGATAACAGGACCAATGTTATGGATTAACTAAACATGGATTATACTATATTTGTCCTGAGCTGAATTTGTTGGTTTTTGCTTTTTGTTTGTGGGGTAAGATGCCATACTCTTTAGTGTTTTTAGAGGAGTGTGAACTTTCACTCAACATTTAAAGCCATCAGCCAATATTCAACATGTCCCTGTATGAGATTGCAATTAAAAAACTGGGCTTCCCCACTATTGAACTGTTTGTAAAGGTAAGTGATGTTGTAAACTTCTGCAAATCCTCCTTACACTTACAGAAGCAATGCTCAGTCACTGTCAATGCCTTTGAATTAAGTATTCATACAATATCTACAGTATGTATGGCTATAGTATGGTTGGGGTATTTTGTGAGTTTGTACTTTTTTACACATTTTCTTATTTCTGAACTTGTTTGTGTATGTATTTATGGGCATCTGTGTGTATTTGTGTGTGTGTGTGTGTAGGCGGGAAGTAATGGGGAGAGCATTGGCAACTGTCCGTTTTCTCAGAGACTCTTCATGATCCTGTGGCTTAAAGGAGTCGTCTTCAACGTCACCACCGTTGACCTCAAACGGTAATACTACATATTCATGCTCTGAATGTCCTTATAGGATCCACCATGCAGAACATTAATTCTCTGTGTATGTAAATACAGTCACTCTGGTTGAAGTAATAGTCCTGTACAACAGAAAGGATGTTGTAATGCCCATACTTTTGCTTCACTTTCTGTGGCAAGTATATTCAAAATGAATAGTAATAGCTTGGAAAACACTGACAGTGATATTATTTGCATCCTTATTGCAGTGTTTTTGTTTTGTGTTGTCAGGAAGCCGGCTGACCTGCAGGACCTCGCTCCCGGAACCAACCCTCCTTTTGTGACCTTTAACGGCGAGGTAAAGGTTGATGTCAACAAGATAGAGGAGTTCCTGGAGGAGAAACTGACCCCACCACGGTACAGAAACACACACAAACTCACATGTATATACAGTAGCTGGTCAGAGGAGGCTCAAGCTGGAATTATGCTTCTCCGGGCAACACAACTGCACATAATCATTGTCGAGTTTCTTCTTCTTATGCTACATTTACCCTGCGGAAGCAATATGACGTTTAGCAAATCACAATGTAAAGAAAACGCATGTCAAATAAGTAAGGACAAAATGCAGAAACAATTCATTTCATCATACCTTATGAAATGTCAGCACAGTACGTGAGCATTAAGTATGCAAGGGTGTTCAGTTTATTTCTTTTATGTGTCCTCACTTCTTCAGCTACCCCAGACTGGCTCCCAAACATCGTGAAGCCAACACAGCGGGCATCGATGTGTTCGCCAAGTTCTCAGCCTACATCAAAAACCCACGGAAAGACACCAACGACGGTAAGAGAGAGAGAGAGAGAGAGAGAGAGAGAGAGACAGAGACAGAGACAGAGAGAGCATATATGTGTGAGGGTTGGCTTTAAATTATTTCACTCATACTCATACATAGGATTTTCCTTAAAGCTACACTGTCAATATTTTATGTTAACAACAGATCAAACGACTATGTGTAATGTGAAAGGTGTTGCTGAGCGCCTTTTACTGTCATCCTGTAACACATGCTATGCTGCGGCACAAATGTGCTGCAAAGGTGCGCCACTAAAATGCTCACATGTTGATGTTTAGCCGGTATAATGTTTGCCTTGTTAACCATGTTAATTTAGCATGTTAGCATGCTAACAAATGCAAAATTAGCACTTCACACAATATATGGCTGAGGTTGATGGGAGTGTCATTAGTCTTACAAATATTTGGTCATAAACCAGAATATTGGACAAACATGACATGAATTAATGCTTATGTTGCTCTGTAACACGTTCACTATATCAGCTTTATGAGGTGATCATTTCTCAGCTTGTTCGGCTTCCCATAAGTGGCCAAAAATATGCAGCCTTAACTGTTATGTTTAGCTTCGGTGTGGTTGAGGTTAGAGGATTGTTGTAATATAATCTACTACTCTTTCTCTCTATCCTATCTGCAGCCTTAGAGAAAGCCCTGCTGAAGTCTCTCCGGCGTCTGGATGACTTCCTGAGGACTCCCTTGCCTGACGAGATTGATGCTGACGCAGCAGGAGACCTGCCCGAGTCCTCCAGGAGTTTCCTAGATGGGTCTGAGCTCACCCTGGCTGACTGCAACCTGCTGCCTAAACTACACATCCTTAAGGTTCATTCAGCCTAATTTTCATATTGTAGGGAAAACAGTGATCTACGAAGACTTAGTATTAATTAAAAAAAAAAAAAAAAAGACTTTAATATTTGGACTGCTAGATGATCCTCCTGTAAACTCACTCCTGTTTGCATTTTTCTGTTTGCAGGTCGTAGCCAAGAAATACCGTGGCTTTGAGATTCCAGCAGAGATGTCAGGGGTGTGGAGGTATTTAAACTCCGCCTATCAGAGGGAGGAGTTCACCAGCACCTGCCCTGCTGAGAGGGAGATCCAATTTGCCTATCTGGATGTTGCAAAACGAATCAAATAAGAGGAAGAGTGGGGAATGGAGGAAAGAATGGGGGTAAATAAATAACAGAGAGGAGAAAAATTACTTTAGTAAACCATGGAGAGATTTATCATGCATGCCTGTAGGTGGTAGACAAAAAAAGAAAACATGACGAGAGAGATGAGAGTCATGAAGAAGTAAGGGATGGGGAAAATGATAATGAGGAAAGAAATCCAACTGGTGGGTGAATCCTGATGAATTTACATGAAGATATAGGGGAGGAGGCTAAATGAAGAATAAAAACTCCAGGATATAGATTAGTCCGATCGAAACTAATATTAAAACATCTATTAACTCCTTTTCTGCATCAGCTTGGAAGTGGAACATTGATTACGTGTTTGTATGTGTGTGTGTGTGTGTGTGTGTGTGTGTGTGTACATGCTCTCACAGGTTGGGTTGCACAGTTATATCTTTATGCTAATCATTTTACAAATAATGAAAACCAGTTTTTAGAGGTCTTTCAGAATTAATTCCTGAGTTCTTGTTTTTTTTTTCTTTCAGTTTTTAGACGATGGCAGGGCCAAGTTCACTGCAAAGACTAAATAAGTAGCAATTAACAAGCATTACTATTCAGTATTACTGTATCAGAAAGACTATCTTGTCTAAGAATTATAGATTAGTTAACACTTAAATTTTAATCAGAACCTTTAATATACACAGGAATCTGCTATTTAAACAAATTTCTAATTACGTTAACACTAATGTGAAATTAAAGAACATTACACACACGGTATTGTCAATGACGGCCCTTTAAATTACGCATTAATGCATTGGTCTGTCATTTTTGAAAATACATTGCTTTCTTGCCCAGAGTAAGATGAGAAGATGGAACCACTCGCTCATGTGTACGCTAAATATGAGACAGGAATTGTTTAGCTTAGCCTAGCACAAAGACTGGAAACAACTTCCATGGCTCTGTTTAGTTTTGTACATTTGCAGATTTTCAGTAATTGGGTAGAAATATCAGAAATATCCTTTAAGCCTTACTTGATCAAAATTCCATTCATAATTTTAAAGACAACTGAACTTCAGTGTTCAACAGATCTTTCTCTTGTTGTTCTCCAGCAATCCACTTCTAAGTGTATGCACTGTGTATAAAATACATAATCTGATTCAATTTCCTTCATTAAATGTCTCTGTCTTGATGTTAATGTTGAATCAGTAGTCACATTAAATTTGAAAGTTAAATTAAGTGTCTAATGTCAAGGCCCGACTAGCTAAGAGCCTTTTCTATTTGTACATTTTATAAACAGTTAATTGTATTGAATATGTATACTGACACTATTTACTCATATTGTGATTTTCTTTGACATACTTTGTATCTTAATACTACTGACTGAGTGTGAGCAGGCTTCGGTGCTGGTTGGTTTAACTGGTGATGACAACTGTTTGATGATGAGTTACAAACACTCAAAAGCCACCATTATAATCCTGTGTCACTTGTCCAAAAAAGTCCTTGCCCCTGTTACCAGTTTAATGGTGAGGTCCCTTTGAGCATCCACCATTTTCAGAACAGCAGGTGATATAGTTGCATTTATGTCTTGCAAGAATCACATTGATCAGTTAAAAACAGTGCCTCCTGCCATGGTGATTTACTGTTTCATATTTTGTTTGTTTTGTTTCAGTTCATTTGGCATTTTATTTCAGGTATTTTGGGAATGTCTTAACGAGAAGGCACAAATGTTCCAGTTTTTCCTAGTTCCTTTGAATGTACCTTTAGTTAAATAAAATCACTTGTCTGATTGATTGACAGAAGTGGTTTAGTGGGTTTTCGTGGATGTCTTGCAGCCATTCAGTGTTTGGCAGAGATGTATGAGTGTTATCAGCACCAAACCAACCCTGACATCAGCCTGCTGTGTTCTGGCCTTATATCCTCTCTGGGGAGAATCTTTATTAAACTGATTTTATCATTATGTTTGTTCTGTGTTTCTCTCATTATCAGTTCATGCAAATGTGGAAGTGAATTGCTTTGAAAAGTCATTGCTCAAGAATAACTTCACAAAACAATTTTGTGAAGCAGAGGTGTTGAGTACATTTACGAACAAGTCTTTAACACAGAATCCTCCAGCTGAGTTGACTGTACTGACTCATTATTGTCACTGACTGAATCAGCAGCGTCTTACGTTGGAGCTCCTCTCAGTGGTGACTGAAAGCACTGTTACCAGATCAGCTGCGATATACAACCTGCTACTTCCTGCTTACTGAAAGTGAATACCAGAGTGTCATCATGATGTGATGTAGATAGGTCTTGGCTAAGCTGATATCCTCATATACTTAGGGTGCGTACAGAGGCTTTGCCTTGAACTGAACAGCAACAGATTTCAACAAGAAATCTCAAAGCGTACTGAACCAAGACCTAAGGTGGACCTGTCTCTTAAAGTTTTGGACTCAGAGTATCCCTCTGGATCTGATCGGCAGATCAGTTGTATGGAGTATCAATATGTTTTTAAGTGGCACAGTAAAGACTCCATGCACTTAAAGCTTTATGCAGATGATACAATTTAATTAAAACTTTACTCCAATGTGTAACATTTAGGAGAATCTATTGGCAGAAATGGAATATAATATTGGTATGGTAAATGGTAAATGGACGTACTTGTATAGCGCCTTTCTAGTCTTCCGACACTCAAAAGCGCTTTTACACTACTGCCCAACATTCACAACACATTCACTCAGTGTGGCAAAGTCCATCGAACAGAAACTAACTCATACATACACATTCACACACCAATGCTGTGCATCGGGAGCAATTTGGGGTTCAGTATCTTGCTCAAAGATACTTCAGCACATGGCAGGAGGAGCCAGGGATTGAACCAACAAGCTTCCGATTGGGGGATGACCCGCTCTGCCTCTGAGCCACAGCTGGTATGTTTTCATTAGTGTATAATGACCTGAAAATATGAATTGAGAACTTCTACGGAGTCTGACATTTTGAACCACCATGATTCAGTAGCCCATAACAGACATGAGCACTGGATCTAGATAGGGCCCTTTGAGTTTTGTGGCCATCTTAGTTTCCCCTACACGCTTGGTGGAAGGCTGAGTGGTGTTCAAATGGTTACAATCTACAGCTTTACCACTAGATGTCACTAATCCTTTAATGAGCCCTGTTTTTACCTATAAAATCTATAATTTCACTGCTTTCTCATTATAAACACTTTGTATTTTTACTTCATAATGCTGAAGGCATATGTGATGATACATGCAAGATCTGGTATGTTTAGACACATAGACACACCTAACATTTGTGGAAGTGCAGACACACACACTCATCACCAGGACGACAGTGATGGTGACCTCTGTGGAACCCTCTGAATGTAATGAACCACAGTTTGCACACCCAGACAGCAAACACAGCTCAATTACCATAGAAACATCCAGAGAAGGAATGGCTTTCTGTTCATATTGTGGTGCTGTGAACTAATAACACTGGGTAAAGTCACACTTTAAATAGTATAATTGTTGAGTTCCAGTACAAAACACAATACGCTGACAGGTTGTTAGATAAAAATAATTACTTGAAGGTCTGATCTTTCAGTTGTAGTCCTGGTTGAGAGCTGATGTAATCTAAATCTAGAGGTTTCTATATTTAAATGTTTTAATGGAGCAAATGATTTAAATGTATCAACCAGTGCTAATTAATGTGAGTTATAGGTCTATTGAGTTGCAACACAAATTCACAATTAAGATGTGTTTAATTATGTTAAAATATCACAATTTTTGTTTATCACAAATATATTTTTTGATTCTTCACTCATAGTGTAAAACTGAAGCCATACTGTCAGAGTTGTTGAATGATTGAATGATGATTGATGAATTACTATGGTGAGCTGGAAGTGCAAAACACAACCTTTAATAAAACCAAAACCCAAAATGTCAAGAGAACAAATTTTACAAATCAACAAAACTTAAAACTAAAAATAAATTAAATAAATGTATATATTCACAAATAAAATCTCAAAATTAATTTTGAATCAAATTGAAATCTTATTTAGTCAGAATCAACAAACCAAATCAAAATACAACCAATACATGTTGTACTTTGCACTTCAGAGCCCCCACTTCCCCGATTATGAGCATATAATTTACATTTAAGGACATAATCTCTATGTTCTTACTTTTATACACTTTTACATGTAGAATTTAAGTTTTATAATTCTCACTGGACCTCAAAGCGTGAGTCTGTCTGCATAATGAACAACTAAAGAGAGTGTAAGTGTATAAAATAAAATATCAATCTTTATTGTCACAGTGTTTTTTTTGCCATGCTAGAAATCAACTTTATTTTAAAGTTGGCGCACACATTCAAATAAACGACGTGTGTCTGTCTCATAAGTAAAAGAAAGAGTTAACAGGGAGGTTTGTTCATGCGCCCGGCCACGAGCACACATCGTCTTCTTTGATTGGTAAGTCTTGTTAATTAACGAGTGAATGAAAAGGTCCGAGTCAAGGCTGGCGCCGCTGTGGGGCTTCCTGATGTTATGGTGACAGTCTCCTAGCACTCAGAGGTCAGAGAAGAGTCAGAGGAGAGGAAGGGAGACTGGATGGAGCGATGGATAGATAGAGGTTGAAGCAATATGAGCTTCTGAAGGCCTAAAGTATTAAAATCATTCATGCCAGTAAAAGTTTAGTAATCATCTGTCTTCTTGGCTGCCAGGAAGTTAATGGTACCAGCCAATAAATAATCCAGCACACAACCCCCTGTGAAACCACCAACCCACTTTTTATGTTTGGGAACTTAATTTAGCATGGAAATAGGAGGATACAGCTAACATGGCTCCGTCCAAATGTAAGAAAATATGCCTACTGGCACCTTTAAAGCTCACTAACATGCACACTAACATGTTATATGTCGTTACAGGAGGGCATGTGCTATTTCTTGGCTGGGCACAGTAACTTCCTGGGATTTTTTCGTTTTTAAACAATATATAATGTTGGAATTAATGTGCTTTAAAAGTGCTGGTAGGCAGATATTCTTACCTTTGGACAGAGCTCCTGTTTCCAGTCTTAATGCTAAGCTAAGCTAAGCAACTGCTGGCTCCAGCTTCATATATACGGTAGATAATTTAAAGTGCAGTCAATATTCTCATTTAACTCTGTTGTCACTGGAAATGGAAATGTAATTTTTGTTCAGAAATCGAGGGATAGGTTGTAACATTTCAAGTCTGGATGGATGGGAGGAGATAAAGAGTGGGTGAGGAAGAGAAAGGGTGGGATGGCGATCAGTTCTGGGAGCAGTACTTCCAGAAACACACTGTTGGAGACAGAGAAGAATAACATTTGGTTACCAAATAGTCAGAGGCTTTGTCAACCATGAGTACACATGATGATGAACATTGTCCTTTTTAATAAAACCCATGCACTCCCTCACAGCTCTTGCAATGAATTCTTCTGTAATCCCTCATAAAAATACTAAGATAAGGCAAAATTCATGCCCTTGACTTTCACCTCTTTTGTTGGTCTTCTTGGTCTGCGGTGGGAGGGACTTCTTGAAGTTTCGACCAGTCAGACTGGGGACCATGACGTCTGCACTTGCTCTGGACACAGTGCTGTCGACTGGGGCCGCAGTGGTGGGCTTCACCCCTCCCTCAGCAGCAGGAACCTTTAACCAAAGCAACCAGAAGCAAGAATTGAGAAACTAATATTCATATGCTCTTCTAAACTTAGATTAAAAGTTAATGTTTATAATTTGTTTACATCCATCAATAAATTAATTAAACATCTACCATTAAATAATTTAATCAAGTTTAATGAAGACTGTAAACCCATAAAAAATATTTTATTTATGCTCAGTAAGCAAAAAAGAAATATTTTACAGGAACTTACTGCTTTATTTTTTCTTCCTGAATTTCTGCCATTTGCTGAAATGAAAAACAAAACAAGCTTTAGTCAAAATGAGCAGCACAGTGGCCCAGTCCTGGTTTATGTGGCGATAAAGAGACAGTAGACACATCATTCAATGCTAACCCTGACCTAAGGTGCACATAGCAACATAAAACAGATGTCCACTGTTTGTAACTGGACTGTGACGCCCAACTGCTCCAGTGGCCTTTTGATTGGGGTTGTACTGGGAAGCTTCCAGTTGTGATGTTAGCATTCAAAAGGGTTTATTCTAAGCACAAGTGGACCTGTCCTCACCTTAAGTCTTTCTTCACACAGTGATTCTGCAACTAATCACATCTTTCCATTTACTTCATCTGAACTCATCTTTAAGCTCACAGTCTTCACCCACAGCCATGAACTCTTTCATGGAGTTTTGAAATGCAATGCCATCAGTAAGTGAATTTAACATGTTCACAGTATTGTTACCTCGTGGTATGATGGTGAGCCGTGAGCTCAGTGTACTGTTGAATGTCCTGTGCAGCTCCTCCAGGGCTGAGATCATCTTCAGCATCTGGGCTCGTTTATCTGGACCGGCTGTGCCGCGGTTGGCCCTCGGTCGGCCTGCCCTGTTACCCGCAGTGATAGTCCCCGTAGTGGTTCTGTCAGTGATTCTTGTGGTCCCATCCACTCCAGCTGCTTTGGTACTCAGAAGCCAGTGTTTCAGGTACTGGCTTGGATTTAGTGCTGGAGACTTCTCTGGAATGGCTGATGCATGAGTGAGACTGGGAAGAGGATGTAAAGGCTTCACAAGGCCTGGAAAAAACAGTTATATTGCAGGAGAACTTAATGAGTTTGGATGTAGTATTGGCCAGCACACAATGAATGAATGATACCCTTTTTCAGACCCTTTTGCAAATATTTGAGTTATAGATTCAACTTTTAATTGAAAAGTGTGTGCACTTTGGATGGTATGATATGCATGGTGGTGGCAGCTCACTAGCTGGCCCAACGTTATAGTTTACCCCTTTTGTCTGAACCACACTACTGGTTATGTCCACGTTTCTCTACACAAAAGCTTTTCTTGGTTCCA